TTCATGTCTTCTGCCCATTTCTTCACTGGATCATTTGTTTTTCACGTGTTGAGTTTGGTTAAGTTGTTTATAGATTTTGGATAATAACCCTTTATCCAATATGTCATTTGCAAATACCTTCTCCCATTCTGTTGATTGTCTTTTAGTTTTGTTGATTGTTTCCTTTGCAGTTCAGAAGCTTTTTATCTTGATGTGATCCCAGTAGTTCATTTTTGCTTTATTACCCTTGACTTCGGTGACGTGTCAAGCAAGAAATTGCTGCAGCTGAGGTCAAAGAGAAGATTTTCAAAATAAGAAAAAATAGATTCAAATATTAAAATGAAAAAATTAAGTGAAAATTTTGTATTCCCAAACTGCAGTTCAAAATATCAGCATGGACTCATAGGGAATTATCTCTCTTTTTAAAAAAAAGTTTCTTAGTTCACTGGAAAGACCTAAGGACAACAACCAACCCAGTGCCGTGAACATCCAAATTCTGGAGTCCAAATGCCATTTTCCACTAAAGGAAACCAGATTTAATGGTGGTGGGGGCAAGGGGGAGGAAGGTGGGAAAGGCTGATTCCAGGGTCTTAAGTAAAAGCACAAGCTGCATATGGAATTCCTTGTCTTTGTAGAAAGCAGAGCGTATCAAGGATTGCAAGGGGAGTGCTAAAACCATGGGAGCTGATTTGAAGGATCTCTCATTGGACAAAGAAGGAATAATCTGAGCCTCAAAATGATTAACTTCAGTGAATTGCATCACATCAGTTATGTGAGAAGCATGAATGCATAATGGTATCAAATAACAATAACAACAGTTAAAAAAAATAAAATCTTTTTGGTTCCCCTTAGAGAATATGAGGGGTGCAAGTCATTTTGAAAAGTGGTAAATAGGGGCATCTGGGTGGCTCAGTTGGTTAAGCATCTGACTTTGGCTAAAGTCATGATCTCTCTGTTTGTGGGTTTGAGCCCCACCTGGGGCTCTATGCTGACAACTCGGAGCCTGGAGCCTGCTTCAGATTCTGTGTCTCCCTCTCTCTCTGCCCCTCGTTCTCTGTTTCTTTCTTTAAAAAATAAGTAAATATTAAAAAAGAAAAAAAGAAAAGTGCTAAATAAAAGAATGGGATCAACCATCTCTATCAGCCTTTACTGTACCCTGAGTTCTGTCTCAAGGTAGCCAAATAGCCAAATTGTTTACAAGGGAAATTCTTTTCTTCCTTTTCTTTCTTTTTTTTTCTTTTCCTTTTCTTTTCTTTTTCTTTCTTCCTTCCTTCCTTCCTTCCTTGCTTGCTTCTTTTTCTTTCTTTCCTTTCCTTCCTTTCCTTCCTTTCTTTCCTTTCTTTCTTTCTGTTTATTTTTTAAGTAATCTCTACACCCGGAGTGCCTGGGTGGCTCAGTTGGTTAAGTGTCCAACTTCAGCTCAGATCATGATCTCATGGTTTGTGAGTTCGAGCCCTGCGTTGGTCTCTGTGCTTACAGCTCAGAGCCTGGAGCCTGCTTCGGATTCTGTGTTTCCCTCTCTCTCTGCCCCTCCCCTGCTCATGCTGTCTCTCTCTCAAAAATAAACATTTATAAATTGAAAAAATTTAAAAAAATAATCTCTGCACCTAACATGGAGCTCAAACTTACAACCCCAAGATCAAGAGTTGCATGCTCTACTGACTGAGTCAGCCAGGTGCCCTGGGGAATTTCTTCTTCATGGAAGAATTCTGGCTAATAAATGCAGCAGAAATAAAAGAACTACATTAATGCCATTTTGTAGCCTTAATGTGTGGAGGCAAATAGCTTCTAAAACTGGTAGGTGAAAGTTGGTAGAGATGATAATGATGAATATGGATGAATACTGGTAATACCTACACCTGCTGATCAATCCTAACATCCAGAAAGGAACAACCAGATGTTTTGTGCTTCATGAGGTCTTAGAAGAAGAGCTTAATAACATCATTTGCCAGAAAATCAAACCTGATCTGATACAGCCTTTAGACCTAACTTCCAGTTTAGAGGAAATTCAGGGATAGAGGAACATGTTAAGTGACCCCACAAAGATCCACAACAAGCTTTTGGGAAACTACTAAACAAACTACCCAGTTACTTTAACAAATAAATTGCCAAGGGGAGGAAGGAAAAGGGGAATAACTATAGATTAAAAGATATGGAGACTTGTTAGAAACATGTAATGTGTAGCTTTTGTTGGATTCTGATTTGAACATGGCAGCTTTAAAATTCATGAGACAAATGGGGAAATTTGGGTACTAACTGGATAGTTCATGATATAAAAATTATTAATGAGCACCTAGGTGGATCAGTTGGTTAACCATCTGACTCTATGATCTTGGCTGAGGTCATGATCTCACTCTTTGTGGGGTGGATCCTGCTTAGTATTCTCTCTCTCTGCCCCTCCCCCACTTGCATGCATGCACATGTGTGTCTGAGCTTTTCATTCTCTCAAAATAAATAAACATTTTTTAAAAAAATTATTAATAAGATGTGATAACAGTATTGAGATTATGCTTTGTAAAAGGAATCTTGGGGCGCCTGGGTGGCGCAGTCGGTTAAGCGTCCGACTTCAGCCAGGTCACGATCTCGCGTTCTGTGAGTTCGAGCCCCGCGTCAGGCTCTGGGCTGATGGCTCAGAGCCTGGAGCCTGTTTCCGATTCTGTGTCTCCCTCTCTCTCTGCCCCTCCCCCGTTCATGCTCTGTCTCTCTCTGTCCCAAAAATAAATAAACGTTGAAAAAAAAAAAAATTTTTTTTTTAAAGAATCTTATACCTGAAACTAATACAACACTGTATGTTAACTAACTGGAATTAAAATAAAAAGTGAAAAATTTTTCAGTGAAACCAAAAGCTAATTCTTTGTGAACAAGATAAAATTAATAAACCTCTAACAAATTATAAACACAAATAAAAAGAATCTTATTTTGTAGAAATAGATACTAAAATATTTATAGATGAAATGGTATCCAGGATTTGCTTCAAAACAATCCAGAAGTAGGTGAGGGAATAAGTTTGGCCACATCTTGATAATTGTTGATGCCAGTTGATGAAGTTTCATTGTATTAGTGTTTTTACTTTTGAATATGTTCGAGATTTTCCATAATAAAAGTCTAAAGAAGCAAAAAGGTGGTAGTGGTGGTAGGGATTTTTCTTAAATAGTATTTCTTGAACTAAGTAAAATACCTTTGGGAGTCATGGTAAGATTCCAGAGGAATCAGGGCATGAAATTATCCTGGAAAAGTAGAAGACTGGAACTTGCTGCTGGGGTTGGCTTCATTCATAGCAATGTGAGAACTCAGGAGCACAAACTCCAGTCCTGAGTGCTCATGGGAGAGGAAAACTGGTCCTGGTGTCCTGTTGCAACACTGAGAATTGGAGTCAGTTGGTGATCTTGGCAGTTGCGCACATGGTTTTCAAAAGGCTGCTTTACCCTCCCACCTTCTGACCAAGAGTCTCTCCTGATACTTAGGATGTGATTCCGCATCTGGTCTTTCATGGTGTACTTCTACCTATTCCTGGGAAAGAATCTGCATATTGAAGGAGATTGGAAGAATCTCTTTAAAACATTTTGGAGACTTACCTATGTCCTATTCTCAGATATTGTTATATTTTTGGAAGAACCTATAAGAGGCAAGTTGGAGTCCATCTAAAACATTTTCTTTTCTTTGTAGATACGTACTTTGATTTTTCAGGATTTGCAGAGGGAATACACAATACATGATGTTGTCTTCCCTCTGCAGCTCCCTGGGTTTTCTTGGTGGCAGCACAGACATACACATACATTTGGAGATCTGCCATTCTTCTTCCTCCCCATCCAAACAGGACATTTGGCATCTCTAGAGGACCACAGTAAGGAATGCTAGGCCCATGTACACAGAGAAGAAACAAACAGAAAGTGACTTTATGGTTACTACATATTAAAAATAATTTCGATAAAACATCAGTTTTTCTTTTCAGGTGCGGTGTCTAAAAGACTATGGAGAATTTGAAGTTGATGATGGTACTTCAGTCCTATTAAAAAAAAATAGCCAGGTACTTCTCATCTTGAGATACTTTAAATCTTATAAGAGTGTTCAGTGATGGAAATGTTAGAATCAGTAGCAAAATAAATGTTACCTTGTGATGATCATTTGTATCATAAGCATTATGCTTAGTATAAGATACCCTGTTTTGGCCGTTTTCTGAATATAAAGACTTGAAGCAAATGTTGCATATTACTAAGAAAAAGTTAATTTATTAGATTATCGCGTGTATAACACTAAGCATGTTCCTGGGAAATTATCACAATGGGCCTTATTCTGGGTAAGCGGGCTTGTTCTAGTTAAGGACCTGTTAAATTGTTGGATTTAGCTACTTTCTTTGAATTTATTAAAAAGGTGGTAAGCACTCACTTTCATCTTGTACATCACCCTTTAAATCCTAGTTCTTTAACAAGCAAAGAGTATACGGATCAAAAATTTCTAAGTATTTAACATATAAACCTAATAGTTTAATAGAGAAAGACTGAAATTGTGAATCTCAATATATTGTTTTCTTAGAAATCATCAAGTTCACATTAGATGAATTTTCACTTCATATGCATTCACATTAGCTAGATTTATTTTTATCCTGTCTTAATTGTTTGTAGTCACATTAGTGTAGGACAAAAAATGACCTAATAAAAACCACTCTTTCTTTCCTTCCCATTTTGTTTTCAGCCAATTAGTATCTAAAGCCCTTAAGTCATTGATGTCTTGTTTATGCCCTGGAGCAAAGTAATGCTGAGGTTATGTGGTTCCCTTAGGGTGAATTATTTAATAGTACTCTTGGATCTTTTATTTCCTAAAAAATAAAAAAAAATTTTTTTAATGTTTAATTATTTTTGAGAGAGAGAGAGAGAGACAGAGCATGAGCAGGGGAGGGGCAGAGAGAGTGAGACACAGAATCCAAAGCAGGCTCCAGGCTCTGAGCTGTCAGCACAGAGCCCGATGTGCGGCTCGAACTCATGATTTGTGAGATCATGACCTGAGCCGAAGTTGGACTTTCAACCGACTGAGCCACCCAGGCGCCCCAAAGTTTTAACATTTTAAAGACACATTTTCAGGGGACCCTAAAATCTTTGGTTGGTAAGGCAAAAATTTCCTTCCCAAGTGTCCTCTTTGAAGTAGGATAATAATGAATAGAAAGCAGATGCTAAAGAAATGCTCTCATAAAAATCTGTCCTTCTGTAGGACCCAGCAGGAAGCTCTGATTCACAAGAGCAAAGCTATCCTCATAAAGCAAGACAGGAGAAAACTGCATCTCCAGCACCGTCCTGTGTTTGAATTTCTTTCTCAAGCTCTGTGGCTGATCTCCCCACCTAGTGTGCTGAGACGGTGATTTTTCACTGGAGTGCCCAGGTGGGCCTGGGGCAGTTGGAAACCAGCTGAATCCCTCTTCCTGCTCCCCACTAAACAATTGTCACTCTCTGTGTGGACCATGCAGAAGCCTTTCCCTTGAGATGCTTTTGACTTGTCTCTCAGTATTGCCCTACCCTCAGATATAAAAATGGAAAACAGTTGTATATGTTTTTTTACCTACTATGTATTTATCTAGTATAATTGATATTAAAGGGATTTTTAAAATGTCTGACCACATCTAAAACCAGTTTTCTACAGTTTTCTGTAGAACCTGGTGTAGATCATTTATTAATAGGGGAAACATTTTTTTGCCATACCTTTTTTTTTTTTTTTTTTTTGGACAGAGAGTGCACTCAGGGGAAAGGAGGAGAGGGAGAATGAGAGAGAATATTAAACAGGCTCCACACTCAGCACAGAGCCCAACTCTGGGCTAGATCTCACCACCCTGGGATCATGACCTGAGTCGGAATCAAGTCAGACACTCAACTGACTGAGCCATTCAGGCGCCCCAGCATACATTTTTTTATACTTGTGTATATGGCAAGCATTTTCTGTTTGTTCAGAAATCAGAACCTCCTCCCCCTTTTAAGTAGGCATTAGAATAACTTAAACAACTCAATTTCCCCCCCCCCTTTTTTTACATTTTATGTTCTCAAGGCATTTTAAAACCTCATTTAACAGTTTACACAGCAGTGTGTCTTTAGCCCATGAGTCTTCCTGGCTGGTCAGGAGGGATTTGTTTAGTCACAGGCCTCATAATGAATGGGCCTGTGAACTGGTGAGGTGCACAGGGCCACTGAGCTACATTGCGCATCCTGGAATAATTTTGACAGTTTCTCCTGCTGCAGTTACTTTTTTATTTCTTTATTTTGAGAGAGAGGGCACACATACATGCTTGTGAGCAGTGGAGGGGCAGAGAGAGAGGATCCCAAGCAGGCTCATGCTGTCAGTTCAGAGTGGGGCTTGATCCCGTAAACTGTGAGATCATGACCTGAGCTGAAATCCAGAGTCAGACACCCAGGTGCCCTTGCAGTTACTTTCTAAGAGTATTTGCTCATACTTTTCTGACGTAGCATTTGTAGTTTTTACCCAAGTATGTCTGTCTTTTCTTTGAGGTTTCTTTGGTCACCTGCCAAAGCTTTGGAGCTTGGAAAGTTTTCCTGCCTTGCTTCTTGCACCTCCTCAGCCCAGACTTCAGTAAACATTTCGTTTTAAGTCTCTGTGCTTTGAGGGAGTCGGACAGGAAGGCTCCTTTCTGCCTCAGAAGGAGAGTGGTTTCTTAGGAGGACACAGAGGGCAAGCATTAGCTGGATACCAGTGTCACAAGCAGTGTGTGAACAGCACCCATGTTGTAGGTTACAGATACTTTTAATCCTTGTACAATATAGGAGGAAAGTTGCCACTATTGTTACTAGAAGTATAAATGTTCTGACTCAATACTAGAGAAAGCTTAATGGGGAAGATGCTCCTTTCCCTGGTCTTATTAACGAACTGCTGTCACATTTGTAATCCACTGCCACAGAATCTCACCCCTGGATTTTCTGTGCATAAATCCCAAAATGCAGACACTAAGCAAAATTCATACTGGAATGCAGAATTCTTCAGTTAAATTGAACTTAAGCAAACTATGAATTTGTTTATAAAAATCAGAATTCAGTGTGGTTCTAAGTGGCATCAATTTTCAGTTGATTAAAGTAGCAAATATACTTGTTTAGCTTTTAACTACATAGCTGTTTGAAAAATAGGTAATCAAATTGCTGCTTTTTAATGATGCAAAATGTAATTTTAAATTCTTTTCCAATCGTTTCTTTTCTCTCCTCTCCCCCCCCCCCCCCCCCCCCCCCCCCCCCCCCCCCCCCCCCCGCCCCCACACCCCGATTCCTCTCAGCACTTCTTACCTAGGTGGAAGTGTGAGCAGCTGGTCAGACAGGGCATTCTGGAGCATGTGCTGTCCTGACGTTGGGCTGAGGTGCTGCCAGGCTTTTCCCCATGGTGTGAGGAAGAGCCAAGCCACGGAAAGTTCTACATGTCCTTCTCCACCTTCCCCTGTTTGGTTTTAAAAGTTACAGACATTCTTGAAGATAAACAGGAATATCTGGCTGAGGAGTATCCTTTTGTACAGGATTCTTCTTCCTCTTTGTAATAAGCTGTATCTATAATCCTAACATTCCTGTAGTTATTAAAGTGTGTTTTTTAACAATTTTTTAATGAAAGTAATGAAAATGAAATGTAATGCAAAAGTAATGAAAGTATTTGAATTTCTTAGTTTTTCCCCCAATAGTAATGATTATTTTCATTAATGAACATCTCTGATGTTGCCCACAGTATAGTATACTAAGTCATAAAACATAAAGTACAAATCCAAGAAAGGTAGTAATACCTTTCCTAAGTTACAAAACTTTGGCAAATTAATACAGTATTCACTTTAATACAATAAAATCCTTTTTTGTTGTTGTTGGAATCATGTATTACTCTAGTGATAATTTTTACTCCAAAAATGTCATTTAAGTACCAAAAGAAAACACTGTGGTTTTTAATGGTGGTCTATAGCAAAGCAAGTTATTTTATACAAATTAATATATCTTTTAAAACTATGCAACTTCTCCTTTTTTTTTTTTTTTTTTTATGTTTTTTATTTATTTTTGAGACAGAGAATGAGCAGGGGAGGGGCAGAGAGAGAGGGAGACACAGAACTAATAGTAGGCCCAGGTTGAGCTGGGTCAGCACAGAGTCCGTGAATGTAAGCAATGGGAACTCACAGACTAGAGATCATGACCTGAGCTGAAGTTGGACACTTAACCGACTGAGCCACCCAGGCGCCCCAACTTCTCCTTTTAAAGAGCATTCCTTCAGGAGCACCTGACTAGCTCATTTGGAAGAGCATACAACTCTTGATTTCAGGTGTCGTGAGTTTGAGCCCCATGTTGGGTGAAGAGATTACTTAAATAAAAATAAAACTTAAAAAAAATAAGTGTCTGACTTCGGCTCAGGTCATGATCTCATGACCTTATGGTCTCATGTTCGTGAGTTTGAGCCCCACATTGAGCTCTCTGCTGTCAGTGTAGAGCCTGCTTTGGGTACTGTCTCCCAATCTCTCTCCCCATTCTCTGTTCACGTTTTCTCTCTCTCTCTCTCTCTCTCTCTCTCTCTCTCTCTCTCTCAAAAATAAATGAACATTATGAATGGATGAGTGAATGAGTGAATGAATGAAATGAAAACAATCAAGAGCATTTCCTCATGCAAGCACATGACATGTATTTACCACAGTCGGGTAATTATATGTATTTAGGTGGCTCTGCTTTGTTCTGGGGTTGGTCTAAAGCCAGAGTTCCAGTGCATGAAAAGCTTGCAAATTCTAAAGGAGATTTAATAATGCCAATATGATTTTTAAGTCCTTTTCTTTTTTTTCAACGTTTTTTATTTATTTTTGGGACAGAGAGAGACAGAGCATGAACGGGGGAGGGGCAGAGAGAGAGGGAGACACAGAATCGGAAACAGGCTCCAGGCTCCAAGCCATCAGCCCAGAGCCTGACGCGGGGCTCGAACTCACGGACCGCGAGATCGTGACCTGGCTGAAGTCGGACGCTTAACCGACTGCGCCACCCAGGCGCCCCTTTAAGTCCTTTTCAAAATGTGTTATATTTTTACATGAATACTGGAATCCTCAAAATTAGATGGTCATTTCAAACAATACTACTTTCAGATGATCCCTTTGGTTTAGAAACCCTGCACCTCTTTGTTTTGATCAAAATTCATATAGCTTTTCTTCAACTTATTAAAAAAAACTCTGCCTAAAATATAGTTTTATTTTTTAAATAACGAATATATTCCAGCTTGCAGAGACCTGGGGGAGCAGGTGTCACATACCAACGTTCCTTGTCATTTCCCTACAAATGCTGCCACCATTGGTGTCCCTATTCTCCCTCTCGCCAAACCTGCCAATTCTTCAATCTCAGCATTGAATTTATGTATTCCCATTCCATTGCTTGTGGCCCTTATTAGCATTTGAAGATCCCAAACTTGTCATCAGTCGTTCAAGGTAACTGCTGAGACTGATTCCTTTCATGGTGACTGGCTTCTTCAGTCAAAACAGTTTTATCTGGGTCCTGAGGATGTGGTTTGTATAGAAGTCTCACCTACTAAAGCCATATTTGTAAATAAAACATTAATAGATTAAAATCCCCTTGTTTTCTCTGTAGGATCCACTACAGAATGTTCTTGCGCATGTTTTATTTTTATTCCAATATATGAAGTTTATTGTCAAATTGGTTTCCATACAACACCCAGTGCTCATCCCAAAAGGTGCCCTCCTCAATACCCATCACCCACCCTCCCCTCCCTCCCACCCCTCATCAACCCTCAGTTTGTTCTCAGTTTTTAAGAGTCTCTTATGCTTTGGCTCTCTTCCACTCTAACC